GTTACAGGGAGAAAGGACATCAGTAATGTCCCCAGGGATCCTTGTGAGAACCCATGTTACCCAAGGGACTTGTACATTATCTGGAAAAAGAAGTGAGGTGAGGATATTGATGACAAACTCATTGGATGGGAAGTGAGTAGCAAGGAACTGTGAGGACTGTCACAACATGGACTTGGAAAAAGAGTAAATGGAACCCATTGGTACCAAGTGCAAAATAATGATCATGTTAACCACTAGTTTTCTGAGCACAGGAACTAATGAAGCCTGCTTCTATAACCAGCAGTTGACTGACATTTTAATTGAATTATATTAAGGCTGCAGTGTGACTTCAGTCTTTATTACACATAAAAGAATCCACAGAGAAAAGCCCTGACTAAGGAGCAAATTCTCTGGTATCTAATGAGATGTTAAATCTTCTTGAAACTTCTTTTCCCCTGCAGGACTGATACTGGGGCTGCTCCCTCAGGTCTGCAGTGACTAGTAAGAGTCAAATCTCATTGCACACATTCAAAGTACCTCCTCCCTGGCTTCCTATTTCTTGAATTCCAGGCTGCCAGCTTTCACAGAACTTATGGAAATTTCAGGTATCCAAAACGTGTTTAACACCACTTGTTTGATTTCTTTCAAATTCAAAGTTGAATGTAAAATGTAAAGGTAATAACTAGGCATTAAAAAGTATTTCAAGAACCACGATCAGTTTAATGCCACATAAGGAGCAGCCCTGCCTTCCTCTCCCTCTGCTCTTCAGTTACTCACCCCCTGCATGCTCTACTTTCTGGTTTTTCCTGGTGCTGGTGCACACACAACACTCAACAAGCTGGATCTGTCTAAAAACTACCCAAGGAAAAAAAAGGTTGTTTTTTTACTAGATTAGTCAGCCTAGTTCAAGATGGGGCAGAGGCGTCTCTTCTGGCAGCATTGAGTATAAAACTGTCTGGATCCTGACAAGGTTGGTGCTAAATTTAGTATTCCTCTATCCCTGTCATCTGTGAGGAAATGAGTTTCAGAGAGTGAGCACAATGTACAGCAATTTCTGCTTTCTTTCCTGACCTGTCAACTAAGAAAGTTGAATAAGAAGATTCAGCTGGGGTGCAGAATCAACATTCAGTTTCTCCTGCCAGGGCATTTGATTGCAAAGACCAATGACTGCACTGAACAATCCCTGGAAAGGGCTGGGAAGCTGATCCCAGGCCAGAACCCACCTGCTGCCCCAAGACTGACACTCCTGCTTCCACCTTCCCTCTCTACGAACTGAAAGTCCAACAGCTTGGACAGCAGAGACTGAGGACACATGTTCTGAGTGTCCCCTACCATGGTGGTGGTGAAGCAGTCTTCTGAAACCTCTGACTTAGGGGTTTGTTTCTCCTCAGGCCCGTAACTCACAGCATGGGAAAACTTCTGTGTAAAGTAAAATTTAGTGAAGATGGGGGGGAGACCCAGGAGGAGGCAAAAATCTATCCTGTGCTTTATCAAATGTTGGAAGAAAGGACTTGGTGCTTACCTTGAAGTGTGGTCTCAGTGCTGTGAACCCTGAGTAGGAGACACCCCGGGTGAGCAGAAGAGCAGGAAGCCTTCCTCCAGTGAGGAACAGCATACCCAGGACAGCTTCATCTTCAGCATTTCCCACTGACAACTCTAACCAGGCTCTGGTTCTGCCTGGAACTGACTCTCTTGGGTTTTTTGCAGTTCCTTTGCTTTGCTTTCTTTGGAGACCTATTTAGTTTTGGGGTTTTTTTTTGGCTTGTTGTGGACCCCATTTTAAGGCACCTAAATCTTCCTGTGCATTCTTTAAGGAGTCTGGAGATCAGGCTTGGATAATGAAGTGCTTCAGTCCTTCTGCCAAGCTGGGTCATGGCAGTTTTGTTTTCCCCCGTGTATGGAAAAGTGAAATCATATAACTTTTTAGTAGAAATAGTACTGTAATTGAAAATTTATTTTAAGTTTCTAATTTCACTGAGTAGGTACAGTTTATGAAAGCCAAAGTCCTTTTCTGCTACATTAAAAAGAATAAACAAAACCCCCAACATAACTCCATTAGAAACACTCTCAGCACTCACTGCAGTTACAAGTGCATTTGCAGAGAAGAGTGAGCAAACGTTTGTGCTCTGCGTGTTCTCTAGTGATTTCACACACCAATGTCAATAGGCAGGAAGTTCCTTCCAAAGCCAGAGATCACCCCACTGCTCCAAAGGCCAATAATGAAAGCCAACACATCTTACAGGATTCCATTCATTAACAGTAATTCCTTAAAACTAATGCATTAATCACATTAATGATAATCCATTCACGTGAAGAACCTGAAGAGAAAAAGGCAGAAGCTGGGGTGTGCCCTGTAGCAAGTGCTACAGTTTTAGGGTAATGCTGAACTATAAAATGAGTCCACAGACTGACCAGAGGATTAACCATGTCAGCAGAGCACATGAAGAGAATACCATGGTTTAGGAGAGCAAAAAATGAGGAATATTAATGTTTCTATGCAGGGATTAGTTTGTGTTGCGGGTGTGATTTGAAAGGTGACTCTAGATGGTTGCTTCTTGAAATCAGGCCCAAAGTATTTAAGGACCAAAGTCATAAATGTTTTATTTAAAGATTGATACACTTGTTTAAGTTGTGGCAGAATGATCCTTATCTACTGATCTTGATATCTTTATATCAGAGGGCAGTCATGCCACCGCTTCAAACACTTCCAGTTAATTATCACCAGGTGTTTTGATAATGACAGTGAACTTTGCAATATGAACAAAATGAGGGGGAAAATAAAGAAAGAGATTAGGAGGAAAAAAAGGCCAAAGAAACCCTGGGAGAGCTGACTTCAACACATAGTCAAGCCATATTTAATAACTTTATGAAACTAGTATCAAAGTAAAGAATATATAGTCAAAATACAGAAATAAAGTTGAGTGAGAAGAAACAGCCTGATGAGATCAATCAAAAGTTCAACAGAACAGGTTGATATAAACAAGTGAGCTGAAAAGATGGCTTTGTTTTGTGTAGCAGTATTGCAGCTATTCCTTTCCTCAATAGCCAGCTTAGAAAGAAGAGCTAATCTGAAAAAAAGGAAAAGATACGCATCACTTTAAAATCCTGCTGTGTGTGTTACTGTGATTGTTTGCAGAAACAGCATCACCTCAGTTTGCAAGCTGTGAGAATTTCTTGCTTAATAAACAGAGTAGATTGTTTGGGGCAGGAAAACAAAAGTTCAGAATGAAGTGTCTGCAGTCAGCTTTCCATTACGCATCCACTGATCCTTCTGTTGGCTATGAATTCTTTTATTTGTGAACTGCAAATTATTAGAATTCACTTACACTTTCAAACCTTTTGTTTGTCATAGGTACTTCACTGCTAAAAGTGTCTGATGTAGCACTCACTAATTACAGAATTACGAAAGGTAGAATAAGGCTTCCCCCGCTCAGAAATTTGCTTTTTTGGTAAAGGTAACAATATATTGGCTTCACTAACACCCTAATAATAGGCATACATTTAATCTTATATCACCATCCTTCCAAAGAAAAAAAACAACAAACAACAAGAAAGACTAAAAGATGTGTGCAGTTGGGTTTTGCTTAGTAGAAAATGTTCAAATCAGAACTCATTTTGCTATGATAAACACTATGAATTACATAAAAACACATGTAGAAAACAACGTGCCAAGCTTTGATTAGCAGATGATGATTCTGTAGTGCTCTTGTGCACTATCCTGTAAGACCAGAGATTTAAAGGAAAAGAAAAATCAAATAAAGAAAAAGAAATAAAAAATGAACCAAACCAGTTGTGATGCAGGTTTGGCATCAAGTGTTATGGTCTTAGACTCAGTGTGCTCATTCTATGATTGAGAAATTTAAAGTACCAGATTTTTTCCACATCAGATAGCAGGTAGTTGGTGCTTACATTTCAGACAAGAGAAGTAGGATTTATTTAATTTGAGACGGGATCAGTAATCTATTGTTAAAATGTTCAAAGTGTGCAATAATAAGGCAGATTTCTTATTACACCACCTCTTAAGATACTCATTGTTTGATGAAACAAACAAGGTGCTTTAAAACAGCAGAGTAATAGGATACAAACAAGTGCCAGAATGAAGGAAAACTGCAAAAATGGGAACTGCCCTTTCTTTCACAAGGAGAAATAAAGAACTTTTGTATCTGGTATTTGAAAGGTTTTTAACAGCTGATATCCAATATCAGCTGATTCCTGAAGTGTTGGCAAGATACCAGGTTTCTGGTACTGGCCATTTCTCATGTTATTTAAATATTCACATCATGCAATAAGCAGTTTCACACACTGCAATGTAATGGAAAATACTTCCTAAACTGAATCAGAACCGAGACCCAAAGCAGAACCAGTAAATAAATATCTCGCATATATGCCAAACTATATTCTTCAAACAAAACCTTACATCTTATCAAAGAAGTCAGAAAGTACTAACAAAAAATTATATGCTTTCTACTATAATACTGTTAAATTTCCATGGCTGAGAATGTCCCGTTATTATTATTTTTTTTTCTGCCTTTTTAAATTAGTTGACAGAGTAGAAATTCCAACACAGAAATAAAATGCATATATATGAGAGCACTGGCTCAGCGAGATATCAAATATACAGCATTCTAGTGTCAAAAGTACAGGCAGAAATGTCCAAGATTTCTTGGTGAAAAAGGGGCATTTGAGGAGTAAAAATTCTACTTAACAATCACTCACATTTTAACAGTGCATTAATTATAACAAAAGCTGGATGATAAGTGGACAAGAGAGTCATAATGGTCAGTGTTCACAGCGGAATTTTATCCTCTGCTCATTTAAACGAGGTGGGAAACATATAGTCATGGATGTGAAACCTTTAGTAGCTTTGCTTTTTCAACCTGTCAGGATTCTTGCGAGAGGCAAAGTCATGACATGGAGCTGAGTTGGATGATAGTACAAGGTGGTGTTGATAGAGGAGTCTTCCTTTCGCTGCTGTGCCCCTGGCTTGTCCAAGGATGGTCAGTCCTACAATGTGGTTTGATCTATTCTTTTGCCTCTAGGAAAAGGGTTTCTTGAGGATATAGTTTTACCTCCAGTAACGATTTATTTGGATCGAGCTGGGTCACCTGTGAAGACAAGAAAAAGGACAGATACGTAAATAGATTATTTGGAACTGTTTATCTTCACAGAGCAGATCTTTCACTGGGGACATCTCTGAGTCCCTCTCTCAGTGATAACTGAAGCTGTGAACTTGTAAGTTCCCAGGATGCAGATTAAGAAATATCTATTATAGCAAATTTCCAATATCTGAAGGGGTCCTACAAGAAAGTTGGGGTGGGGCTTTTTACATGGGTGTATAGTGAGAGAACAAGGGACAATGGTTTGAAGCTTAAAGAGGGGAGATTCAGGTTGGACATTAAGAAAAAGTTTGTTCTTGTGAGGGTGCTAAGATGCTGGAACTGGTTGCCCAGGGAGGTTGTGGCTGCCCCCTCCCTGGAGGTCTTCAAGGCCAGGTTGGATGGGGCCATGAGCAACCTGGTCTAGTGGGAGGTGTCCCTGTCCATGCAGGGAAGTTGGAACTAGATGATTTTTAAGGTCCCTTCCAACCCAAACGATTCTATGATTTTATTTTGTGTGGTGGTGTCATGATGATGGAACAACAATACACAGAATAACAATAAACAGCATCCACAGCATGAATTCCAAGAAGGTCCGGTTTTCTACCACAAATCAATGTGTGATTGTATCTCTTTTTGGCCACAATTAAGATCTTTTGGAAGAATTACTAGAACAACTGAGTTAGGATGAGAAATAAAACTGCAGTCCCAGATAAGTGGCCTAAAATTCCAGTCAAACTGATGGTGTGAGCAGCACAGCCAATCCATCCTGATCTCCTCATTGAAAGGGGAAGCTTATTCTGCCTTTATTTACCCACTCCCCTTCTTGCTCCAAGTCACCTGGTGAAGCACCTACTTTGCACTCACTTTGATGCTTATCAGCCACCTCAGTGAACCTTGGCTGGGAAAAATCCTGTCCACTTGTATTTGAGTGGTCATTTTTCTGTCTTGCTAGTGAGTTTAACTGGGGAACACAAAAGTCCAGTCAACACCAAATCCAGTGCAATGTAAGTAGCCAAAGGACCAAACAGCAGGTAGAAGGGAGGAAAGCAGGGCCTTCCTCTTGTTGGAAGGGAGATGCTAAATCAGCTGACCATGTGGTGAAACTGCATCTTAACATATATATATCTTTATATCTATATCTATATCTATCTTTACATATATGCATTATAAGTACTATGTGTCTATATTTCTTTTATGAAGACACTTACACATGTACATTTGTATTGAGGATTGTTCCCTGGAATCCTGACTCCTCACTGGATCTGTAAAGGTATTTAGGCAATCACTTGTGCAGGTGGGCACACAGGAGAATTCCAGGGAGAGTTAAATGCCATGCAATTTGGAAAATAACAATACAGGCATTGTCTGCACCATTATTGCCAAAATTCTTCAGTCTTTGGATCTCAGCACCAAACCTTGCAACCTGCCCAACATCCTGACTAGCCCACTCATGGCCTTCACTTAAGGCACACCTGCAATTCTCTTTTTACAGTCAGCAAGAAACATTTGTGTTGAGGATTCTATGTAGAAGCTAAACTGCTGCCTATAGGATACATCTCTCCTATGAAAAGAAAATGCAGTGGTACATAATATAATTAGTTATATAGACAAAATAATGACAAGGGTCCCAGTGTCCTTCAGACATTCAGGTTCACATGCCAACACTGGGGTCTCCTTCAGAAGGCTACTGCAAAGCTTCAGAGAGAAAGATGAACACCATTTCTTTTAATCTGACCATCTACTGAAATACCTCACTTCCATTTTTTAAAAACTTATTTTCCCTGGTAATTCTGTTTTAGTTTCTTTTGTTGTGCAAGCACACTAGTTATCAGAAGTTTGCTTGTGAATAATAGATTCTTAGTCTTGTGCTATAGGTATAAATGCAAATGCAGAACAAGAAACATTTTTCCCAAAGTTAAATTTGTTGTATCTATGATCTTATTATCCCACTGCTTTCTAAAATTCTTTTTTTGAAAACACTGTCAAACTCACTATTATGAATTAATAAAAAATGCTAAAGGTTTTTTTTTTTTTCTTAAAAGCATAACATCCTAATCCTGTTACCAATTAACAAAAGCAGTGTTGATCCTCTTTCTCTTCCCCCCCCTCTAAATCAGGCAAACTTAAAATATATTTATATTTCTATAGTTTTATTGGATAATTACAGACAATTAATTATTTAAACAACTATGAAAAGCTTTCACTTACTAAGTCCATTGAAATCGACATAATTTCACCTCTGACTGCAACAGAATTTAAAAAACTCACAACAGAATTAAAAAACCCCCTCAAACAGGTGCATTGTTTTGATTCTCAAAGAAGGAACATACTTTCTTAAACCTCATGTACCACGAGCTACTGCTAAACGTCTGAAGAGAAAAATAATTTACAAAAACCAGACTCAATTTTAGATTCCCATTATCTACAGTCCAATTATGGATTCCTGCACAGATGCTGCTTAAATTATTGAAAGGTTATTATCTTAGAAAGCAAACCAGTTATGTAAAAAACAGCCAAAGTAGTACATTTAAGTTTGTGATTACAGAAGTATGCTAATTAAGTACCTTGTTGCAATTTTTAATGTTTTGCTGTTCTGCTACAGTCCCTTATTGCACAGAGGCACAGAAAGTGAGGTAAAGAGGGGTCTCTGCAATTCACAGCACACAAGGTATTGTGCACCTGAGAAGCAATTTTCCTTCTTTTCAGTTCAAGCCAGTGTCTAATTAGACCACTCTATTTTCAAATCCTGCAACCTTTTAAATTTTTTTCCCTAAGAGAAGCCAGGAAAGACAGAACAGGTCTGTTCTACATTTGGAAAACAAAAAAATCTGACAAGCAAGCCCAGGCAATGAACACAGTCTTCCAGACTGCAACCATATGGAAACCTATAATTCACTGGAGTGTAATTCAAGATACACATCCTAATCTAAACCCTGAGGTTTGCAAACTTCAAGTACCTTAAGCAGCAGCAATGCCTGATGCCCCTTCCTCAATGCCTTCCTACCTGAAAGATCAGCCAAAAGCACCAGGGAGTACCTACAGCAAAAGGACTGTGCAGCTTTTCACCATATTTTCAGCAGTGCTGCTTAATTCACTGAGGGACAGCAGAGTTTGCAAATGTTTACACCATTACCCAATTAACTAACAATATGGCTCCTACATCTGTCAACAAACAAAGCTGTTGTTGCTTTGTTTTAGCTCCTTGGCATTTTCTGTTCATATGGGTCGCCATTGTACTTAATTATCACACCATAACCCTTCTGCAGCTTCTACTTTGTTATTTGTGGTTTGTAAATATGTTGTTTACTACAAAGAATAGAGGCTTTATTAATGAACACACCTCCTACCAAAAGCAATGCTTTCTCTTGTAAAGATAGGAAATATAAGACCTAAGATGGTTGGTAACTTTCAGTATTTTAACACAGAATTAGAAATTTTGATTTCCATGATATATTATTTGGTTTCTAATTCTATATAATATATCATGGAGATCAAAGGACCCTGGAGGAGCTGGAGCCTGCAAAGATGTGTCCAGTGTAATTTTTTAATGGATTTTATCCACTTCAATAAACTGATACGGATTATTTCATAATGCAAAGTATTAAAATACATTCATAATCAAATCTGTGCACCTCTTTTCATTACCAGCAGGATAAATCGTGGCGTTCAGGGCTGACAATCCTTGGCTCTGATGCCATTGCATGGCACTCTCCTCAGAACAGCCCTGCCCATGATGTAAATTACCCTGGGCCAAAAACCCCTACACCTTAATTATTTGAAAATTTTTGGGTATATTTTTGGCAATTACACAGGAGATGATTTAAGCAGGTGTTTATACACTGGACCTGATTTGATCCTGTTGAACTCAAAGAGATTACATAGGTACCCACGTGGTGAAATCAATGCTTCCTTGATTAAGGTTGCAAAATTCACCAAATGACACATTTGGCCTAAAAGCACAGTGGTTCTCTGTGTTTTCAAGTCCTACAGTATCTGACCTGCTACAAGTCACACATGCATTCTAAGAGTTCATTCAGGTACCACATGGTGGTACCAGCTGATGGGGTGAAGGTATTTTAAAAATATTTTCTGTGAAGGGAAGTACTTTGTGATGAAATGCAAATTAAAACCCCTCAAGCAGAGGCTCTAGGCTGCTCCAGATGTACAGAGAGGGGAAGGTGGCAGAGGAAAGACACAATGTCCAGATGCTAAGAAAGCCTGACTCAAGTGATCGCAGAATTGCCAAAATTCAAGCTCACAGGATTCTGTAGAATAAGGTGGTCACATTCCAGGCTGTCCCAAAGCCAAACCCTGGGAGTTTTCATCTTCAGACAAAGGACTTTCCATGCAAACCTTCACACTCCTCTTTTAACATCAAGAGCTTTGGTGTGTGACTGATGTTGGTTCGGCGCACAGGAAATGTATTGTTTGACCAGGCTGTTATCTAAATTAATTCTGTGGTAATTATTTCAACTAAGCACTAGGTAGCTGAAGTACTTCTGCAGCACTTTGAAGTCTGAATGCTTTAAGATGTGCAAAACTAAAAGATACAGTTAACTCTTGTGATTCTTCTGTCAGAATGTAGTTACTTACACTTCATTATGAATAAGCTGCTTGTTTTTTATAATGACCCAATAATGAAAATTAATACTGGTTTAACAACATCTTAATACATCTTGGTAGCAAAGTCTTTTTCCTTCTAGAACAATTTTTATATTCTTTCTATCTTTACCCTTGCTGGCCCATCTGTTCTCTCACACCTTCACATCCTGAACAGCTGTACTTTTACCACGTCCAAGGTGTGGTTCTCTACCCTCCCTAACTCTGTAGGGACAAGATAAATACACACACAAAGAAATGGCTTAATGCCCAGGAAGGTAATTTAAAAGTAAAGAATCAAATACACAATTATTATGACACTTACACAAGCAGTAAATATCACACCCTTCACCTTTCTCTACACCCTAGGACAAGGATCTGATTCCTGAGTAGCACAGCCTCTGTCC